CAATTGTCCTGCATTTTGTTTCGTCCCTGTACATGCTTCTTCAATAAGATGTTCGAACCCATTTCTATAGACTTGTCATCTGTTCCTCTATTCATAACTTCTTGTCTTTCACTCGCTTTCTTGTGAATGTTCTCATTAGCTGTCTTCAAGGCTTCAGTCATTCGCTTTTGATGATTAGCTAAATAAATATCTAAATCGGTGTCTATTTCCGTCATATCATTATGAAAAAGATTGTCAATAGGGAGTCTTGGCTCATGACCAAACATCAGGAAATATGGAGTATATCCAGTTGAAGAATGCGGTGTTGCATTGTACATGAAAGTTAGTTCTGGCAGATACTCAGGCCATTTAGCTTTCTTTTCGGGCATTAATGTTCTTAATCTGTCATGCATTGTCCTATTAAATCTCTCAGTTTGGGCGTTTCCTTCTGGTTTGTACGGTGTTGTCCGTGATTTTTTAATGTCATATATTCTACAGAGTTCACGTATCACTACACCCTCAAAATTCCTACCCTGATCACTGTGTAACCGTTTTGGTATCCCTAGTTTCAAAAACCAATCCTTAACCAAAACTTTAGCGACAGTTGTTGCTTTCTGGTCTCTCGTCGGAAATGCTTGTGTAAATTTAGTAAACACATCAGTTAGTACTATAACGTTTTCTCTACCATCTGAAGATTTCTCCAAAACTGTAAAATCCATAGCTAGAATATCTAATGGTTTACATGCTATTAACGAACCCATTGATGGACGAACTTTTGGTAAAGGATTTTTAGCAACTAAACAACGTTCACATGTTTTTATCCAATGTTTTACATCGTTTATCATATCTGACCAGTAACATCGTTTATGCAATAGCGCTAATGTTCGTTCTGTACCTTGGTGTCCGGATAAATTGTGTAGTGTTTCAAGAACGTAGTGTTTCAATGTTTCTGGTATTACTAACTGTTTACTCTCACCACATTCTATGTCACTGATTTTTCTGTATAAAATACCATTGTCTATCACCAATGAATCAAATTTCCTCAGTAACTTCTTCACTGGTTTCGTTTGTTTCATCAGCATCTGTGTAGTCAGTTTACCCTGCTCTACAAAATTTAAAACAACAGAGAGAACATTATCACTACTTTGTAATTGTTTTATTTCATCTACAGTATACTCTGGAAATGTTGACATTGTCTCTATTTGATCAGTCAAATTTATTTGGTTGATATGCATGTGTTGTACATTGTTGTTTTTACACTCTCGCAATTTGTTTAAAGAAGAACTTTGTACTATTTGTCTGATATTTGTCTCAACATCTAATGGATTCCTGCTCAATACATCTGCATTGACATTAGATCGTCCTGATCTATATTTGACCTCGAAGTCAAATTGTGCAAGTTGAGAAACCCATCTCATTTCAGTCGCACCCAGTTTTGCAGTTTGCAGGCAACACAAAGGATTGTTATCAGTATAAACTATAAATTTACTTCCTATCAAATAGTCTCTGAATTTTTCGGTCACAGCCCATTTTAGAGCCAACATTTCAAGTTTCATCGAACTATAGTTATCCATATTCTTTTCATTCGGATGTAAGCTGCGTGATGCATACGCTATGACAACAGTTCCTTGTTCTTGTTCTTGCGATAGAACAGCGCCTAAACCTTCTATACACGCATCGGTTTCTAAACGAAATGGCTTTTTGAAATCAGGAAAACCTAAAATAGGCGAACTTACTAATTTCTGTTTTAACTCTTCAAACGACTCTAAACATTTCGCATCCCATTTTTCTTGAAACTCTTTAGCGCTTAGTAACTTCAATTGTTTTGATTTTCCCTTCTTTCCATTTGTTTTTGTAATGAGTGAATGTAACGGAGCAGCTATCTTACTGAATTTTGGAACAAACTTCCTATAGTAACTGCATAGTCCTAGAAATGATCGGAGTTCTTTTTCAGTGGTAGGTACTTTCCAATCTTGAATTGATTTTGTTTTGTCTGGGTTTGTTTTAATGCCATCTTGTGAAATAACGTGTCCTAAGTATCTTACCTCCTTCTTGAAGAAATGACATTTAGACAATTTTAATTTCAAACCATGCTGTCTTAGTCGCTGAAACACAAACTCCAGGCGTTCTAACTGTTCTTCTACTGTCTTTGAAAAGATAAGAATATCATCTAAATAAATTAGTAATATTTCAAAATTTTTGTCATTGAAACATGCTTCCATTATTTTTTGAAATGTAGCCGCACTATTAGAAAGTCCCATCGGCATTCTTAGGTACTCATAAAGACCTCCCGTTCCAACACGAAATGCAGTCTTATGAATATCCCTTTCATCGGTCGCCACTTGATAATAACCTTGGGATAAATCTAACGTTGTATAAAATTTTGTTCCGTGCAAAGTGTCTAATGCCTCTTCGATCCTTGGAAGTGGATAAGCGTCGCGTATTGTCTTTTTATTCAATAATCTATAGTCAACACACAGCCTAATAGACTTGTCATGCTTACGGACTATTACTACGGGCGCAGCATAAGGACTACAACTCTTACGAATAATATTTTGATTTAACAATTGTTTGATATGTGCTCTAACTTCTTCCATTTGATTAGGCGGAATACGTCTATGCGGAATCGCAATTGGTTTCTCGTCTGTCGTAAGAATTCTGTGCTTTACAATGTCTGTGTATCCTAAATCTAAATCATTTTTACAAAATATATCGGTATTCTTGTTTAACAAGTCTTTAACTTTTTCTATTTGTTCATGCGTAAGGTTTTCCTGTTCTATGTCGAGGTCATTCAATTGTATTTTCTTATTGTTCTCTATATTTGTTGTAGCTTGCTTACAAACAGCAATATCTATTTTCTTTATTTGAACGTTAATTTGAGTCTCATCTATATCAATGTCAATATTGTCCTGTGACACCTCGTGTATTAGTGAAGCTGAATGTAATGTACCAACTCTTGTTTTCTGATTAATCCATACATCTTCTAATCCTATATTAATCATACGTACCGGTACTGTTCCTTGACTTATCTCAGCATAACTATCAACTACCATAATGTTTCTTGGTAAAGAGCCTTGGTTACCTTGTAATGACTGAACAACTGCACAATGCTTTTCATTATTGTCTTTTTGTCTGGTTGTACACATTACTGTCTTCATTGAATTTCCAGGTATATGTACTGGACTGCTACCTGCTATCTTAACAAAAGATATCTTTGGAGAATCTATTTCACAGTCAAAAGAATTATTGTATAAAGTTAAGATACCTGACAATTGCTTCCCAATAAGAGTGTTTTTTTCAGTTTCATTATAAACTTCTAAAGTTTCTTTCATCTTCATAAAAAAATTGCTTCCTAGTAAAAATGGTAATCTACTTTTACTATTGTTATCAGTGTCTTTCACAACAAGAAAACCAACATTCGGAATCATTGTTTTCACTACTGAAATGTTAAGTTCAATATAACCTAAATATGGGATAGGTAAATCATTGGCTCCAGTGACTTTCATCCATCTTGTTATATCGTGTAGTATTGGTTTCGTTTCTAATAATGTATTAAAATATGTTTCAGTAACTGTTGAAACCTGGGAACCAGTATCTATGAGTGCTATAACTGGTTGATTTTCAACAACAATTTCTGTCTCTGGACTTTTACTAGCAATGTTTTTAAAAATATTACTTTGAAATGAATTGGAGTCTACTTGTACTGTAGTATCTTCTACTGATCGACTCACCGCAGTAGAAGCTACTCTTTTACCTCTTCTGAGTCACTAGGAACAACAGCTCCTCGACCTTGATATCTGTTACCTCTTTGGTTATATCTACCACGATAACCTCTTCCTCTACCTCTAAACTGTCCACGCGTATGTGTTTTCTGTGTATCTTCGTCACTTCTTTGTGCTTGAAAAACTGATGGACATTCCGGACGTTTATGACCCTTACCACCACAATTATAACAAATAATTGGTTTATGGCTATTATATACATCATTGTTTGTTGAATCACTATAGTTTTTAACATTAGACAACCTATCAATTTGCTGTTGTTGTTTTTCTAACATTTCCTGTTGTTTTGTGAGAAGTTTTAATATTTCGGAATTGTCTTTCGATGTGTGTTCAGATTTTATTGCTTGATTGCTAACAACTTCGGCATCTTGCATTTGTAGTTTTACTTCCAACTTTGTGTATTTTCATTCACCCAAAGTAGCACTTCTTGTCTAAACTCAAGAAATTTCATTGTTTTGTGCTCATAACTGAATCGTTTTACTTCTCGTTTCAAGTGTGGTTCTTTAATACCTTCAATAAATCGATCTTTAAGAACTTTATCTTTATCACCCAAAACTGTGTTATCTCGCTTGTTTATTTGGTCAAATATTTTCATCAGATTCAAAGAATAGTCTTGCAAAGTTTCATCATCTTTTAGATTTCTTTGAAAAAATAGTTGTTGTAATTGACTTACGGAATCATCACCATCATAAATACTATGAATCAAAAGCAAAATTTTATCAGCAGAATCTCTTTCTAATAACGGTCTTAGTCTTATCTCATCTTTAGCTGGAGATATTAGATTTTGCATAAGAAAGTCAATTTTGGCTTTTTCGTCTGGTATTGTAACGAGATGTTCTCGGGCATCTTCCAACCAATCACTTATTATCGGATCTTTGTCTTTTTCGGGTCTACCGGATAATTTTGTAAACGGTCTCTCTTTTGCAACATATACAGTTTTTGTTGATTTTTGTAATTGTTCAATGATTTTGTTATTATGTTCTAATTGTTGCTTTAATTGTAAGTTTTCACCTTTTTCTTTGTGCATATGGTATAATTTCTTACTCAATTCGTCTACCTCTTTCTGTAACTTTTCTTCTTTAGTTTCCATCTTGCTTGTAATATCTAGCACTTTAACCCCTAGAAAATATTGTCTAACCAACGTTGCCAATTTTTTATATATATATATAGTTATCCTGTCGACGACGCCATTTTTGTAACCTCCGAAAACGATAAAACTGGCTTACGAAAGCACAAATGTAAGGTTCATGAATTTATTGTACTGTATTCATATATTCACATTATACATATATCGAAAAATAACATTAATTATTGGCAACGCTGAATAGTTCAATATTTGTGGAAAAAAAATGGAAAAACACAAAACATCATAAGTCTATTAATATGCAGATATAAATTCAATTAAATTTAACTTGAAATAAAGATTGCTTTTTCAAATATCAATTAAATACATCAGAACTATTAATTTATCCAAAGCTATATAAAAGCTATAAGAACACGATTATCTCCCTTTCTGAATATTACAATTCTTAACATTTCTCAAATCAAAATATGAACACAAGAGAAAGTCTTCAAAGTAAACAACATTTTTTTTATGAATAATCAATAATGTTTCAATTAGAAATATCAAAAATTAACTAAACATAATCATAATATCAATCAAGGGCACATAATTACAATTCAATATACATACCCTAAATAAGGAAATGGTAGACAATTTCACCTCAAAATATCATACTCTAGTAGGAAAAACACATAGATCTACCTGTGAACAATACTGACTTTATCAGAACCTTTTATATTTAAAATGTAAAACAAATCTTTCATAGTATAAATATTTCTCAACAATGCCTATCAATTAGTTCAATAAAACTATAATTATATTTTTCAAATGATTATACAAATTTCGAAATCATATTTGCATTTGCAAAACTTCAGATAAAAATATAGAATGTTATTTACATGCACATGTCATATTTTTGTTCTTTTTGTATTTTATAAAACTCTTTTATATAAAACAGTCATATTCAAAATCATTATAAATATTTACAAAATACACCAACCTTAAATCTTCAAATATTCTTGTTCACAAAACTGAGACACAACTACACCTGTCGATCAGTTATTTATCAATAGTAAAAACATACAATGTAGTGAACAGTTTTTACCTGTACACTAATTACTAGAATGAAGTAAATAATATTTTGAAATACCTTTAAATAATATTTGGACAAAATAATCAAACTGTATCATAAATATGATTTAATAAAATATATAAATGCTAATATAAAAATTATCTTTTCTGTTTTTTCTTAATTTTATTTAATTTCCAAATTTTACTTCAATTGCTGAACTCTATACAAAGAGAGATAACTCAAAAACTTCTAATGTAGTTTTTGACATATTACAAAACTTCAATTGCTGAACTCTATACAAAGAGAGATAACTAAAAAATTTCGAATGTAATTTTTGACATGTTACATCAACGAGGGTCAATTTTAGTGGGATATGCATACACAGTTATCTTTACTTAATTTAGGTACAGTATTATAGGGATACTGCATAAGTATTGGCGACGACATTGGTTCCGTGTATACATTATTATAAATAGAACCACTGTTGTGTGATATAAGAATCTTCTGCGTCATTTGATCTCTGAAGGAGACTTGTCTCATTGGCAATCGTAACACATCTTATTTTTATGTAAACGACAGAATTTTAAGACAAAACGTAGAAAGATAACTTTTATAATGTTCTCGCGGAAATTAGAAAGAAAAAAATCTGTCACGAAACTTGTTTTCTTGCTAAAAAACAAAAATGCTAAATTGCTAAACATTCCTTTATTACAGTACGATTATCTGAGTTATGTTATTCCCCCTTATATGGCTAACTTGTAATAAAATTTACAAACAAATGCTATTCTTCATTTGTAAAGACAGAACTGATCAGATATAACACAATTTGTTTTTCATTCAGATTAAAGAAGTCTGAAAGATGATTAACAATTCGTTTCCAAAATTGTATATTTCATTAAAGATTTAGACCTTTCGTTTAATAGTATTTCACAATCCAAATTGAAGGTGACATCCTATATACCATTAAGAAGACTCTAGTCATGCAAGCTCCACGTGGATAGTCAAAGTCGTGAAACACTCTCTTAGTTGTATCTAAATTAACATATACTATTGAAATCATTATACTGTAAATTGTTCTTGTGGAATTTACAGCGGTATAAACCAAACTACATAACCCAAACTGTAGTAATTGTACGTTATGCTTAATAGAATCACCGTTAAAATTTAACAGGTTTTGTTTGTTTTGTTTGTTGTTTTTTTTTTTTGTGTGTGCGATGACAATTTCATGATAATACTTATATATATGTATACATAAATTGCCTAACAATGTAATTTTAACACAATATTGAGTATGTAAATTTTAGAATGTTTAAAATATTTACAACCCGATAAAAAATAAACGCAATATTTCGCTAGACAAACTAGCTTCATCAAGGGTGCATCTATCCAGGTGAAATCGGATGTAGATAAGAAACTTTTGCAGCTCATTGTACATAAATTTAGCTGTCTTGTAAAGAATTCAAAATTTGGATGAAATTCAAGATTATTTACAAAATTGGTGGTTGAAGTTTGCAACGTCCATTGGCCAATATTACAAGATAAAAAGGAAGATGCTGTGTTCTAAATTATTCTTTATCTTTCCTGTGTCTTTTCTCTTCTTTTTCATTAAGACCATTAGGTTCTAAAGTGTGGATATGGTGGATCCAAAAGTTTTTTCTTCTCCTTCTCGCCGTATTGTCCCACTCGGTGTTGACTTCTATGATTTGAAAAGTAACATTATCCAAAGGATGTATCCTTGAGCGAAGATGTCTTGTGAGAGGACAGTTTTTGTTGGTTTTGTACCATGAACGATAGTTTTTAAGCCGAATATTAAATTTATCCGTTGTTTCTCCCACATACTGACTGCTTCAAGCGTTACATGTTAATACATAAATTGAGTTCTCCGTTTTTCAGTTGGAATTTGAGTATATTGTATAACTTTGTTTTGTAAAGGAGCTGATGGAAGAATTGCTTGTATTAGTAGATTTACAACATAAGCAATTCCTTCTATCACATTGTTTGTAGCAACCGGGAGGTGGAGTAGGTTACTTTGTTAATACAGCTGTCACTAATTTGTCACGGATGTTTTTAGGTCTTCTGAAGGCCATGACTGGTGATGAGGAAAATATTTATTTTTAAATTGGAGTCATTTTCTACAATTTTCCAATGCTTTTGAAGAATGGATGACACATTTTTAAAATCAGGATGGTAAGTGAGTACAAATAGTGTTCTCTTGACTCCTTAATTTTCATCTTTGTACTCCAGAAGTTCATGGCGGCTAGTGTTGTTTGCTCTTTCGAAAGCTGTATCAATGATGTTGTTATTGTATCCTCGAAGAAGTAGATGTTTACGTAGTTGTCCAAGTCTAGCATTTTTCTTATTTTCGGTTGACCATATTCTCTTGATTCGCAATGCCTGGCTAAATGAGATACCCCTGGAGCAGTGTTTAGGATGGCAACTTTTAGGAGAAAGACATTCATGATTGTCCGTTTTTGTATACATAAATATGTACATTACATAATTGTATTGCACACATTGTGTCATAAATATTTATCAAGTGAAACATGCTGTTGTGACATTTTCTTACAGATTATCTCTATTCAATAGTCCATGCATATTTTAGGAACAAAACTAATTTACAAAAATCTAACATGAACAACCGTGATAGTTGACTAAAAATTTAAAAATTTTAAATTACGGTATGCTTAATCAGGGCAGATATTATGCTTAGCAACATGCAACCTACTCTTGTGACAGAGGTGTGCTACCTACTGATTTGACAGGAGTGGGGTACCTACTGTTGTGACAGAAGTGCGCTACCTACTGATGTGACACAGGTGCGCTACCTACAGATGTGACAGAGGTGCGCTACCTACTGATGTGACAGAGGTGCGCTACCTACTGATGTGACAGAGGTGCGCTACCAACTGTTGTAACAGGTGCGCTACTTTATGATGTGACAGAGGAGCTATGTCGTACAAGATAACGAGTCATTTTCGCTATGTATACACGAGACATTTAACTTAACCTACTAGTATTTGAAAACATTTCTTTTACCCCTCTTGGATATATATATTCAGCTTCTAACTTTGGTATTACAATGCAATAACTTCACATTCAACGGTGAACACTTTCTCCAAGTTAATGGAACAGCAATGGGAACAAAAATGGCCCCGTCTTATGCCAATATTTTTATGGGAAAATTAGAACAGAGAATTCTCAATTCTTCTCTTTATCAACCCCTCTCTTGGTTCCGATTTATCGATGATATATACATGAAGTGGGATAATACTGGACAAGAACTAAATTTGTTCATTCAACATGCCTACATTTCTTGACACTACAACGCAAGTGAGGGATGGAAACATATTTACATATCTGTATTGCAAGCCCACAGACAAACATCAATATCTATCTCCTTTGAGTTGTCACTCTAAACATTGCACCAAGAGCATTCCCTACAGCCAGGCCATACGAATAAAAAGGATTTGCTCCACCAACGATATTGCAAAAAAAACGACTTCAAGAACTTCGCGGTCACCTAAAACATCGGGGCTACAAAAGAAAAGACATTGATAAAGGTTTTTCTCGTGCTAAAAACATCAGCCGAGATGAACTTTTACAATATAAAGTCAAAAAGGTCAACAGGAGGGTGCCTTTTGATTTGACTTACCATCCAAAATTTGACAACTTATCACCAATCCGCGAAAATTGGAAAGAAATTGAAAAACATCCTAAACTATCCAAGATCTTTCCCGAGCCACCTGTACTGGCTTTCCGTAGGCCCAAAAGCCTTAAAGACTTGGTGGTGAGAGCTGATTTATCCTCTCAAGCAGGCTCTTCGTCTGTGGGCTCTTGCAAGGGTTGCGGGAACAAACGATGTCTGACTTGCAAACAAATACTGGTTACCCAGACTTTTAACAGTCACTCCACTGGTACAGAATACACCATATTTTGCAATGTTAATTGCAAGACTACAAATGTTGTGTATCTCCTACAGTGTAAATGTGGTAAACAGTATGTTGGCGAGTCAGAACAGCCGTTTCACAAACGAATGAACGGTCATCGTAGCGACTACCAATGCAAGCCAGACCTCCCTCTCAGTCGACATTTGAGATCCCCTGGCCACACTAAGGCAGATCTCAATCGACTGACCATTACAATCATTGACCACAACTCTGCTTGGTCTAGGGAGGATAGACTCACTCGGGAAAGATTTTGGATAAGAAAATTAACAACTTTGGTACCAAATGGGATAAATGAAAAGATGTAGTTCGACTCCATGCAGTGCTTCACATTTGGGTTATATTACTTATTATTACAGTCTCTGTTTCTATTTCTTTACTTTACTCATCTCTCAAATCTTTTGAATATACCAATTCAAATTGCTTAATTTTTGAGGGATGTAAAAGTGCCAAGCCACGTTCAACTAGTTAACCTTAGTCAAAATTTATTATCATATTTTAACGGCCGTTTGTTTGCGATGCTTAAATACGCAGACTCTGTTGTAACTACTCTACCGTTGTCAAATTTGAAATATTTACAAATTTAGATCGTTCAGTGCTGTTTATTTGGAATTCTTATTGACGCAATCGTTCTTGTAACATCATAAATGTCGTCACCGTTAAAGCTTTAGAATTGTGCTAGTTCATATCGCACATTATTATTTTTATTTAAAGCATATATTTGAACTCTCTGCTGTAATTAGTCATATAACCTATGTCGTGTTTAACACATATTTAGAATTGTGCAAGCGTCTTACCTGATGTTCGGTTTGACTTTTTTATTGTATAAATTTCAAGATTGTTATAGTTTAATCTAAGTAGACTGATATATGATTCATTCAACATCACAATCATATTTACTGATGAAGGATATCTGTTATCCGAAATATTTATAAATAATTACATTTATAGTTCCTTTTTTGTTATTGGTGCTGTTGTGTACACTTTTTAGGCGTTTATATATATATATATATATATATATATATATATATATATATATATATATAATTACTCTAAATATGAGCACTACTATGTAAAATCTGCAAATTTGCCGAAGCAAATATTTGTTCTTCTCTCGCCGGGATTCGAACTCATGCTATTGGTCCAGTTATCGTCCTTTGATTTTCGTTGTCAAAAAATATAGTCCCTAGTGTAAACAGTGTGTTACTTGCAGATTTTTTTCATACCCCTTCCAAATTTATATCTTCATGTTTTATGCCTCAAATAGCAAGTAGGGGGACGAAATTACAATGTAAAAAAAATTAGGTCATGCATTTTAAAGTAAAGTAGTGATTTGGTCCAGCTGAAAAAGGTCAAAAATTAGCATTTCGGAAGCTGTCAAAAGATTTCCTGACCC